GAGGAGAGGGAGAGAGGAGAAGTAGGGGAGGGAGGGGGGGGGTCCGGTTCCACCCCCCCCCCCTCCAAGCGACCACAGGACGTGCTCTTTCGCAGGAAGGATCGGAGCAGAAAGAGAAGAGGCAGAACCAGACTGGCAGGTCGGGCGGGCGGAGCCGAACAGGCGGATCGGGCGGGCGGGCCCAGACGGCGGGGTCGAGCGGGCGGGTCGCTGAAGCGTCAGTCCTGCATACATCGACGGGAAGTCTCTCAAGTAATAGCGCGATTCCCGAGTAAATCGCTGGGAAGTCCAGAGCAAGAGCATGATTCCTGCGTGTGGAGGGCGTGGTACCTCAATAAATTGCAAGGAAATCCCACGCGAGAGCGAGATTCCCGGAAAAACTGTAAAGAAGTCCCGCGAGAGAGCGCGATCTCGAATGAATTATGAAAAAGAATCAGGCGGAGCCGCTGTTGTGGCAAGCCGGGAACCCACATCACAGTCTGAGGCGCAAGACTTCCCCGTGTACAGAAGTGCGAGCCCCAGGAGGGGCAAAGAAGAGGGGATCGACTAAAAGAACTTGTTACAACTGAAATTTCCGCATCCGTATCATCATCTCCGTCTTCCTGCGTTTCTCCTCCTCTCTCCTCCGCCTCCGCCTCCTCTTCCTTCTCCTCCCCCTCCTCCCCCTCCTCTTCCTCCTCCTCCTCCTCCTTCTCCTCCTCCTGCACCTTCCCAATGTCTGGACGCCCCTCCAAGTCCCAAAGGTCCCCAGAAACACCTCAAGCCCGAAAAACTCCCCTCCTCAGCAAAAATGCAAACGACACAAAAAAACATAAAGCATTGATCCTCCTCCTCCTCCCATCCTCCTCCTCCTCCTCCTCCTTCTCAACCTCCCCCTCCTCCTCCTCCTGCTCCGCCTCCTCTTCCTCTTCCTACTCCTCCTCCTCCTCCTCCTCCTCCTCCTCCTCCTCCTCCTCCTCCACCTCCCCTCGGGCTACAGTGCCGTGCAAGTGTGCCACTTCCCAGGCGAACATGACGCTGTCGTGTCATCCTGGGGTATCGAATCAGATCATCCTCCCTATCCCTCCCCGCCACCCCTTCATCGTCCCTCACCATCCCTCCGTTTCCCTCCTTCTAACTCCTCCTCCTCCTCCTCCTCCTCCTCCTCCTCCTCCTCCTCCTCCTCCTCCTCCTCTTGCCTCCTCCTCATCCTCATCCTCTTCCTCCTCTTCCTCCCCCTTCCGCCTCCTCCGCCTCCTCCGCTTCCTTTTTCCCCATCCTGGCCATCATAATCATCATCATCATCATCATCATCATCATCATCATCATCATCATCATCATCATCATCATCATCATCATCGTCGTCGTCGTCGTCGTCGTCATCATCATCATCATCATCATCATCATCATCATCATCATCATCGTCAGATCATCAGCATCATCATCATCATCATCATCATCATCATCATCATCATGATCCTCAGCATCAGCATCACCATGATCAACATCAACATCAACATCAACACCAACATCGTCATCATCATCAGCAGCATCATCAGCATCAGCATCAGCATCAGCATCAGCATCATCATCATCATCAGCAGCATCAGCATCAGCATCATCATCATCACCATTACCATCATCATCCTCATCCTCATCCTCATCCCCATCATCATCATCATCAGCAGCATCATCATCATCGCCATCGTCATCGTCATCATCATCACCGCAATCAGCATCAACAGCATCACCAGCATCATCAGCATCATCATCATCAACAACAAAACCACCGTCGTCGTCACAATCCTCCTCATCATCCTCCGCATCCTCATCCTCACGCTCATCGTTATCATTGTCACCATCACCACCGCCAGCATCACCACCATCATCATAATCAGCACCACCACAACCATCATCATCACCATCATCGCTATTACCATCAGTGCACTCATCACGCTCATCATCACCATCGCCATCATCATCATCATCATCATCATCATCATCATCATCAGCATCATCATCATCAGCAGCATCATCATCATCATCATCATCCTCATCATCATCGTATCGGTTCCTCCTGGCCTGTAGTGCATGGGGCAGGTCGCCGCTGTCTCAATCGCACGTGCTGCGGCACGCTGCTGGGTGCAGCATCACTCGCCGCAATTCACTGCGAGGTCCATGCCTGTGCTGCAAGCCCGCGTGGTCGGCCCGCCGCTTGTGCCCACGTAGACGTGAATCGTCCTTCGACGCCCACGCGGCCATAAATCTTCATATTCCTGCGGCGGTACAGCGGTTCACGCTCACGCGAACGTCCACCTACAGCTTCCCCTGGGGCTACAGGTGTCCCTCGGGCGCTGGCGGCATCGGCCCCAGGCGCTCTACGGGCTCGGTCTATCCACCTGGTCCCACTACGTCCTCGTCCCCTCCAATTTCTATGTGGGGCTCAACTTCGGCCCCCACACTTGGCGGCTGTTACTGGAGGCGCTGGGCATCCCACTTCAAGCGGCGGTTCCCACGGAAGCGCTCACGCGGCTCACGCGGCGGCGGCTCCCACGGCGGCGGCTCCCACGGCGGCGGCTCCCACGGCGGTTCCCCAGGCGGCGGTTCACGCAGAGATGGCTACCAAAGAAGCGGCTCCCGCACCCGCGGCAGCGGTTCCCACGGAGGCGGGTCCCAAGGCGGCGGTTCCCGCGGAGGCGGCTCCCACGGCAGCGGTTCCACTGGGGCGGCTCCCACGGCGGCGGCCCCCAGAGAAGCGGCTACCACGGTGGCGTCTCCCACAGCGGCTCCCACGGCGGTTCCCAAGGCAGCGGTCGACACGGAAGTGGCTAACCAAAAGGCGGTTTCCGCTCCCACGGCGGCGGTTCCCGATGCTGCGGCTTCCACGGCGGCGCCTCCCACGGCGGCTGCCAAGGCGGCGGCACACACGGAGGTGGCTACCAAAGAAGCGGCTCCCGCTCCCACGGAAGCGGTTCCCACGGAGGCGGTTCCCGAAAGCGGCGGTTCCCGCGGAGGCGGTTCCCACGGCGGCGGTTCCACTGGGGCGGCTCCCACAGCGGCGGCTCCACAGCGAATCCTCGAGGCGGGCCCTCCTAGCTACCACCGCGGCTACCGTGGCGGCGCCTGCCACGGTTGCGGCCCCCACGACGGCGGCTTCACCACGGAGGCCACACGGAGGCGACTCCCACAACATCAGATCCCACGGCGGCGGTGCCCACGGAGGCGGCCCCCACGGCGGCGGTTCCCACGGCGGCCTCCCAACGCGGTGGTTCCCACGGCGGCTGATCCCACGGAGGCGGCTCCCAAGGCGGCTGCTCCCCAAGCGGCTCCCCCGGCGGCGGTTCCCGCAGAGGCGGCCTCCGCGGTGGTTCCCACGGCTGTGGTTCCCACGGCGGCGGTTTCCACGGCGGCGGCGCCCACTGCAGCGCCTGCCACGGCGGCGGCTCCCGCGCGCGGCGGCTCGCACACAAGCGGCTCACACGCGCCCAGGGGCGGTTCCTGCGGCAGCGATTTTTCCGCGAAGCGGCTCCCACGCGCGTGGCTCCCACGCGCGGCGAGTCCGACGCAAAGCGAAGCGCAAAGTGACCGTGGACGAACTGGACGACGACCAGGGGGCGCTCGACCAAGCAGAGGAACGGCTGCTCCCTCGGGCAGTGACTTCGTCGCGGCGGTTCCCACCCTTGGGCGGTGGCGCCCATGGGGCAGCATGGCGTCGGTTCCTCTGGGCCTGTCGTGCCTGGGATAGGTCGCTCATGCCTCACTCGCAGGTGCTGCGGCATGCGGCGGTGTGTAGCAACACTGGCCGCAGTGCATTGCGAGGTCCGTTCTGGTGTTTGACACCAGCGTGGTCGGCTCCCCGCCTGTGCCCACGTAGACGTGAATTGTCATTCGACACCCACACGACCATGAATCATCATCCTCATCATCACCATCATCATCATCATCATCATCATCATCATCATCATCATCATCATCGTCATCATCATCATCATCATCATCATCATCATCAGCAGCATCATCATACTCATCAGCAGCAGCATCATCAGAATCGGCAGCATCAGCATCATCATCAGCATCATCAGCATCATCAGCATCAGCACCACCAGCATCATAATCATCAGCAGTATCATCAGCATCAGCATCATCAACATCATCAGCATCAGCACCAACATCATCAGCAGGCCAACATCAGCACCATCATCACAAGCATCATCATCAGCATCAGCATCAGCATCAGCAGCAGCATCATCATCGTCACCATCGTCATCAGCACAGCATCAGCATCAGCAGCAGCCAAACCATCATCACCATCACCATCAGCATCATCAGATTCATCAGTATCATCATCGCCGTAATCCTCCTTCTCATCATCAGCATCACCATCAGCATCATCCTAATCATCACCATCATCATCATTATCATCGTCATCATCATCAGGTTCATGTTCATCTTCATCATCGTCATCATCAGCAGCATCATCATAATCGCCACCACAATCAGCATCATCAACATCATCAGCATCATCACCAGCATTACCATCAGTATCATCATCGTCATCAGCATCAACCTCATCATCATCAGCATCATCATCCTCATACTCGGCATCATTACCACCAGCATCATCATCATCATCATCATCATCATCATCATCATCATCAATAACATCATCAGCAGCATCAGCATCAGCATCTTCGTCATTATCAGCATCATCGTCATCGTCATCGTCATCAGCATCATCGTCATCAACATCATTATCATCATCAGCATCATCAGCATACAAACCATCATCATCAGCAGCAGCATCGTCAACATCATCGTCATCGTCGAAATCATCATCAGCATCACCCCTCTCCGTTCCTCCTCGTCTGTCCCTCCACTCCAATGTCTCCGTTCTGCTCAACTGTCTCCTTTCCATCCCCTGTCCTCCCTATGCATTCCTCTTTATACCCGTTCCCCCCTCAGATGTCCGCTCCCCTCCACTCTCCTCCCCCCCTTCTCTCCCTCCTCCCCTGGCGGCGCGCCCTGCTTTTGAGCATTCGCAGCAGCTTCGGCTGCCGCAGCTCGTCCGCCGAATCCTCGTTCTCCTCTGCACCGGCAGCCCGCAGCAGAGGGCCAGGAGGAGGATCGAGGATCCAGGAGGAGCAGCAGCGGATCGAGGATCGAGGATCGAGGATCGAGGAGGAGCAGCAGCAGGAGAGCGCAGAAGCAGGAGCTGCCTCTGGGGCGGGGGGGACCCCACGCCCCAACCCCTCCGACGGCCTGCCAGAGTTGAGCAATCACCGCTCCCGGCCACAGCAGAGGGAGGCGCGGCAGCTGGCTGCGTCAGCTCCGGGAGCTGAGCAGACACGAAGCTTCTGGAACAGTGCCTGAGATTGCCTGCTTCGGCGGTGACGCTCTCACGCTGGAGGGCCCCGCAGTAATGATGGGAACAAACAGTGGCACGAACTTCTTGTAGCTCGGGGGTCCGCGCAGCCTCACCAGATCAGCGCTAGACCCCCATCCCTGGCGTGCGGAGCGCGCCAGGGGCGGCGCCCGAGGCGCCGCCAGGGGGGCCCAGCGCCCGTGCTGTATGTAAGCCTGTCTGAATGCCTGCTGCCTGCTGCCACTGACTTTCCTCGCAATCGGGGTCGTATCTGCGGACATCCAGCGCTATGCTGGCTTCCGTCCAGTACTGCAAAAGACAAGGGGCGAAATCTCAAGCATTCTTGTTGAGTCCTCGGCCCGCTGATCGTGGCACCGTCTGTGCGTCACATTCGATCCGGCGCATTGCTGCCGTTAACTCTTGGCTTCAGCCCACTGTAGGTCGGAAGTGGCCACCAGAGCCTATCGCACCGCTACTCGTTTCGACCTCAACTGTCTTTTCTTGGCCCTCGAGGCGGGCTCGTCGGTCGCCGTCGCCACACGAGGCTTCCGATTTCTGGAATCGCGAGGCGGGGCCACACTCGGCGCGACCGGAGATGCCATGGCTGATGCGCCCGCCAGGCCGCCGTCGGCCCGCAAGCTGGGGCCGGCTCGCCACGCGGCGGTTCCCCGGCAGGGTGACCGCGCCGGGGGACCGCGGTTCGGGCCCCCGATGGCCCTCCTCTTCTTCTTCTTCTTCCTCCTCTTCCTCCTCCTCCTCTTCCTCCTCTTCCTCTGGGGCACCCCCGCTTCCTCCTCCTCCTCCTCCTCTTCTTTTTCCTCTTCCTCCTCCTCCTCTTCCTCCTCCTCCTCTTCCTCTGGGGCACCCCCCCATAATCCGCCGACCCCTTGGGATTCATCGGCGTCTGAAATGATCCCCCCTCCCCGAACCCCTCTCCTGGGAACCCAGTCGGGTCGATTAGGAGGGGGGTGCAAGGGACTGGCCGAAGGCGTCACAAGGGGACAGAAGGTTCCAAAACAGCCCAAGAAGGTACCAAGAGGCCATCCGGACGGTCAAAGAGAGCCACAAGCCGCCGAATGATCAATCCAAAACACCCACGCTGGCCACCAGACGGCCCAAGAGGCCCCAGACGCCTCAGAAAATCCTCAAGGGGCGTCCCAAGATGGCCTCAAAGAACGAAAGTCGCCACATTACAATAGAAAAACGTACATGTTCAGCACGTTCGCCTCTTGTACGTTCACAACGTCCATGACAGCCCAAGAAGCCTCCTGGATCGCCCCAAGACGGCCCAAGAGGTCCCCAGGGGGGGTCCTAGACGACCCAAGAGGCCCCAAGGCCACTCAAGAAGCCCCAGGACAACCCCAAGAGGGGGCCCAGTGGGGGGAACCCGAACGAACATTTCGAGCCTTCGACCCCAAACCGCCCCCTTGGCTGCCCCTAGAAGCCCCCAACAGGCTCGCAAAGAGCTCAGAAAAGCCCCAAAAAACTCCCAAGAGGCCTCCCGGAGGCCCCCAAGCAGTTCAAAAAACTGTTTCCCAAACGCCCCCGAGACGCCTCCCGCACGAGACCCCGTCTGCCATTCGCGTGGCCTCGCAGCCCAGGCGCGGCGGCGGGATGTGCCGAAGGCTACTCTGTAATCAAAAGATCTCCTATAAGCCCCCAAAAGGCGCCCAAGAGGCCCTCAGAAACAACACGCAACAACCGCCTGTCCCCCAAGGGGACAGCGGTGTGGCGTGAATCTTTTTGCGACCGACACCAAGCCACTTTCGGAATGTATCCTTCCCTGTCCAAAGAGCCAGTGCGCGCAGGGAGGGGACAGGCTGCGTTTCATGGGGACTCTGAAGCCATCAGCCCATGTCCTAGGAGGAGTGACCTTTAGAACCTCGCGTCACGAAGCAATGGAAACGGGCAGCCTTTCCTCGAGTTCGACCACAGGTGGCCGTGGCTTTGCCGCAGGAGTGTCAAAACAAAATGGGATTCGACATCGGGTCCGGGGAAGGGGGTCGAACACGAGGGATCCACTTTTCGCAAAAATCCAGACGCCGAAGGAAAGGAAGGAAGAAGGAGAAGGAACATCAAACCCAAAACAATGACGAGGAGGGGGAAAGGACGAAGAAAAACAAACGCAGGAGGAGGAGGAGGAAGAGGATCGGTAAGCTGAAGCAGTAGCACTGTCACGTGTTCGCTGGGAAATCTAAAACGACCTGGAACGCCTGTGAACGTAGAACATCCGCCAAACTTGTAGACAACAAGCGCATGACTAGCCCGCGCTCGCGGGGACCTCGCCGTTTGAATGGCGAAGCGCGCGGGATTGGTCAGACGCCTCCCTACCGAGAGGAAGAGTAGGAGGAAAGAATGGGGGAGGAATTATAATTGGGGGGTTGGAAGCTGCACGAGGGAAATCACGGTGGCAAAAAGATGCAGATTGCGTGGCACTTACTCATCATACAATGAGAAGATATGCGTCGACGCTCGGGCCACACAGCGGCGACGTCTCCTATGTGAGTCGGTTTTGTGCGGGCGCTCAAACAACTCTGGCGGAGAAAAGAGACCAAAGGAAGAAACGAACCAAAACTGTCCAACCACAAACACACACTAGACTCGGCAAGGAAACACCGTCTCGCGCTCGGCATTTTCTTGGGGCCACACCGATGACGGTATTCGGCGCGAGGTCCATTGCGAAAGATGAGGCGAGCAGGCAACGCGCGCGACTTGTTAACGCCCTCCGTCCGCTCTAGCGCCCATGATACGATGGCGGGAGCTCGCTCGTGCTCTCAAGAGCACCGCACGAGGATTTCACGCGCGTGAATGATGGCGCGGGCTACCCTGCGCCGCATCGCGCGGCGCTGGTGACATCGGGCCGCAGACATGATGCCTGAAAGCCTGTCTAGGGCGCAGGCAAGATAGTGGCCGCGGGCCACGTGAGTCACGAGGCGGAAGTGTAGTGCCGTGACCCGGTAGGTGGTAGAGGAGATGATGGATGGAGGTAACCCCTGAGGGATGCGCACAGCATTTTGGCACGATCGCCTCGCGACCTGTCGGGCGCGCTCCGATCGCGACCGCCGCGGGCGACCCCCTCGCTGGGCGCGCCGGGCTCGGCGCTGCCCCTGGGCGACGGCGGCTGCTGCGGCTCGTCGGCGCTAGCCGCGCGGAGGGTCGCGCCCGCGCGCCGACGCTTGACCTTCTCCCCAGCCCTGCGGGTCTTCTTATCTTATGTATTCGCATTATGACGCTCCTTCTTCTTATTATTATTATTCTTCTTCTTCTGAGGGAGGTCAGCGGCGTCGCCCGACGGGGGGGTCATTCTTGTCCAGTTCGGCGCCATCGCAGGCGCCTTACTGGTCGGCAGCAACCGCGAGTGAGACACGGCTGCCGCGCGGCGTCGGCGCGGAGATGGCGGGCGCGACCGGGAACGGGGAAGCCCTCGAGCCTGAACGCGGTCGCATGCAACAGGTGCAGCTGGCGCCGCCCGCCGCGTCTCGTCGGACTGCTGCGCCGGGCGATCCACTTCGCGACCCCCGGCGCTGCGCGGCGGCGGCGTCATTAGAGGCGCGCCCGGAGGGAAAATCATCACCATTCTTCCGCCGACCGTGGCCCGGGTGCCAGGGGCGGGCGTCTGCGACCACGCCCTTGGCAAGGCTCGGCCCGCAGTCGATGCGAGGGCCACGTCCCATGACGACGCTACGTCCCCCGTAGAAGACACGGAAGACGAGGGCGCGGATAGCGCGCGGCGAGGCGGCGGAGGACCCGCGGGCTCTCGCAGCCTCCTCTTAGGCGCGGCGCCGCGCGCACGCGGCAGCGGGCGGCCGCCAGACCAGAGCGCGACGGCGCGCGTCGAGAGCCAGCGCGCGGGCCCGGCGGCGCGCGAGCCTGCAAACGAAAAATAAAATGGCATAGGCAAAGAAGCAAAGAAAACACTTCCCCCTGATCATTTATGCTGCTACGGCGATGGCATCGCTGGCGAAAGCCACCAGCCACGTCATGAAGGGCAGATCTATCGACGCTGCTCTTGGTGAGTCCGTCCGCTGTCACGACGCGGGTGTCTTCCATGCCCACGGCCCATCGCTGGCTCGTTTTTAGGAGGTCGCGGAGCCGAAGCACACGCGGCAGCAGTGAGTATGCTGTCGGAGGCTTGGGTCTCGTCGCCGCGACGGCTGCGGCCGATCCCATCGAGTCGAGGAAGAGCTCGATTTACAAGGCGAATGGCTGTTGACCATCCCGTTGGCGACGCGCCGCTTCAGGGCCGCAGGGCCCCGCCGGCACTTCATGGAGCGCGGTGGCTAGAGCGAGGCAGTGATCTGTTTAGCTGATCGTGGCCACCAGCTCTCCTCTGAAGGTGCTTCGCGCACCTGTTCTACATGCCCCACGCTGCCAGCCCAGCAAATTACACGCTTGCGTGCCGACGTAAGCTCGATGAGTCCCCGCGTCTCCGGCGCCCGCGCGCGCAATGGCGGTTCCTCGCGGGGCTCGAACTGCGTCGACGCCCTGGTGGATAGTGAGTACGTTGTGGCGTGGCCTGTGCCCGTCCAACCAGCGCGTCGAGCTCCCGGGCGCGGCCGCGCGTTGGCGCCGCTGCGCGGCGCTGAAGTCCAACCACGTAGACGCGCAGATCGATTCGGGCGATGAGCGCGAAGGCCAGAGCCATGAGCAGACTTAGGTTTAGGTCGGCCAGGCTCTCTGGAGCGAGCTCGGAGTTGCGATCGCCAACCAGCTCAGCGCCCCTCGTTGGCTTCACCGCCGTTGCGCGCGCGGGGGCGACGCGCTTCACAGCGCACGAACATGCGCTCGCAAACGCCCAGCTCACCCTTGCCGACAGCATCCTCTAAACGTTGACGTAACTTGGCCTTTTCCTGCGGTGATCCCGTGCCTCTTGCCTCGTCGACATGTTTGGTGGCCAGACAGACGCAATCGCCATCCCTGTTTTTGGCGATAAACTCGTTGTCGTATAATGTTGGGATGGCTCGGCACATGTAATTGGTGATCTTGGTGAGCTGCACGGACCAGCATATCGGGGCATCTTTGCGCCTGGTGCCCGGTTTCTCCACGCGGAGAACTTCGTGTGCTGGGTCGCAATTCTCGCGCCACTGCGCTGCGCGTAGGACAGCGACGGCGTCGGAGAGAGCTCAAAGTTGACCTCGCGTTCATCCTCGCCTGCTGCCTCGGCAAGTTCCTGGCTTCAAGAAGGCCCCGTTGGCGCCCCGCGCATCGATCGCCGATCATCGGCAGGCCACCTCGGAAGCAATCACGCGCCGGGCCCGTCGCGATGAGGCGCCCGCGCACGCGGCGCTGAGATCGGCGCCGGCGCCCTTGAAACCTTGAAGCCGCGGAGAGTCAGCCCCGCGCGGATGATCCCAACCCTCCTTGAGATGGGCCTGAATTACTTCGAGCCCATTCCCACTTACCAACCTGCAGTCAAGGATGCTGCGTGCCCCCCAGCACGGGCGCCGCGATCAGCAGTTGCGGCATACAAAGCACTCGCAATGCCTCGAGCACAGCAGCAACGACGCCTGCGGCGCGCCCTCGAAACTCTTCGGGGCAGCAAGTCAGCGCCACGCTCGACCACTGCCCTCGGGGTTCCCGCCGCGCAAACCCCGAGGCATGCACAGTGACCATCGGGAACAAGGTTTTTAAACATGAGTTTATGCATCTCGTCCGGGGCCAGCTTTGCCACGCAGGAGTTCCCGGCCTCATCAGCGTCGATGGTCTCCGCGGCCTCGAGAGGTGCAGCGCCCACTTTAAAAGTGCTGGTGGTGCTGGCCCACCACTGAGGGCAGGACTTGCGGCAGTGGGTATGACGGAGCAGGTTGGGCCTCCACCACCCGAGGGTTTCCTCGAAGGTGACTGATGCTGCGAGCAGCGCATCTTCCATGACCGCTCGTCGGCCGCGCGTTAAGGAGATCCGCCACGCGGTGTCGATAAGGCACTGATCGCTCAAAGATTATTCGTGGAGCCCCTCCTCCTCCATGGTGGATAGCCCCCCCTCGTCATGTCTGGAATCGTCAGGGCGCGCGCCGGCCTCCGAAGGTCAGCGCCACCTCCCCGAGCGCATTCTAATTGGAGCTCGTCTTCCACAAGATCTCCGAAGCACCATCCCGCTACCTCTCCAAATATGCGAAGAAGAACGCAGTTTGCCGCGGTCGGTCGGGACCTAGGTGCTCGAAGGCTGACCCCGCCAACCTCGCAGCTCCACCAGGCGCCCACTTCGCTATGGCCTGGTCGCCGCCGCGCCGGAACGAGCCGTCTCGACTATCTGCGGCCGCGATGAGCCCGAGGCATGGGCCGACTCGGACGGCCGCGACGCTGTTGAGATTGAAAACGCTTCTGGCTAAGTACGCGGGGCTCAAGGCCACAGAGCACTTGTCGGCGGCGACGGCGGCGACCGCGCCCGCGTCGGCAAGGCCAAAACGTTGAAGGCTCTTAGCCGAGGGCTCAGGATATGCTGTTCTACCTGCACCCATGCCTGACCCTGTGGCGTAGAATGTTGGCTCGTAAGTCGGTGTACTAATCAGCCGAGGTCCATGGGCCGTCGTGCATCTCCGAGGCGGCGCATTTGTTCGGCGCCCCGATAGCCGATGCTCACGGCGCCTTGTTGGGCACTCGTCTTGATGACTGCGGCTGGACCGCTCCAACCGCTCACGTACTTGGTGGATGGAGCTCGGTAGAAGTCGACCAACTCACCTGGCTTGCAGTCTGGGGTCTGGCCTGCGACTCTGGCGTTGGTCCTGGAGGCTCGGTTGATACGAGAGATGGCCGAGGATTCTGCGAGTCGTTGCAGCGCGATCTCCCTCTCTTTCAGCTGGCGCGAGTTGCGGGCCACTCCTGCTGCGTCGCCCGGGAGTGCGAACATGTCCGGCAACGTCCGCGGTCGCCATCAAAATCGCGCGTTGCACGGTGTTGCACCTCCATAGGATATGAGAGTTGCCTGCAAACGCTGCCTCAGATGGTGGGTCGGGCATGCTGACCCCCAGCCCGTCACGCCGATTCGCGGGTTGCTTGGAGGCGCGACTCCTCGCCCAGTGGGCCGAACTGCGCGGCAAGGTTCGCGATGTGGTAGGTCACGGCGGCTTCTGGTTGGCCGTTGACCACGCCTTCTTTCGTCATCTCTGCGAGCGGCCCCACCGAGGTCGAGGATGACTGCAGCGCATTGTTGAGCGCTGTCCATGTCAGCGGCTAGCACGAGCCAGTCGAGCAAGTCCTGTACCCAGTGGCGGAAAGGATACACGGACTCGCGCTCGGAACCCATGAAGATGGCTGACGGGATGCGATGGCACCGCGGCCGCCGCCGCCCTGTGGACTGGCCCCACCAGGCACCATGACCGTGAGCCAGAACAGGACGGCCACGAAAACCACGATGATGCTGCCAACGAGCGTCAAGATGGAGATCCTCCTCGCGAACGAACAACTGACCAAGATGATGTCTGTGCAGGCGCCTTGGGATTCGGCCCTGCGCAGGGACGAACGCCATGTCGAAAAGCGGGGCAGCCGTGATGATGCCGTTGTCAACCTCGGTCGAAGCCGAAGTCGGTAAAACTTGCACATAGACTTGCAGTGTTCCACTCGGGTGGTGCGCTGTGCTCGAAGAAACAGGCAGCACTATCGCACACGTGCCGAAGCGCGGCGCTAGCCCAAGAAGGGGTCTCGCAATCATGCCCGACGCGAAGCTGCGGCCAGTGCCTGCGGGGTTGCGATGGGTCGAGGAACGTCGTGGCGCTCCTGTGGGCGATTCGCTCCTCATTGCGGTTGCGCCTTCTGCTGTTGCCCTCGCAGTCGCATCGGATGTCCTAGGCAAATTGCCACTTTACTTGCAAAGCAGCTATAAGCACAGGCTACTCAAGGAATGGAGAGTGGTACCGATGCGGAGATGGAAGTTCGTGCGAATGCGCGTCCACACCGCACTCGTCGCACGTTCCGTGGATCGCGATCGTTCCCAGCCCCGCTACCAACTAGAATTGCGGGGCTTGGGAACTGAACCAGAGAAAGCATGGCGGCAATCAGATGTAGTTTGAGGGCGGCTTTTACTATTCATACAATAAGAAGATCTGCGTCGACGCTCGGGCCAAACAGCGGCGACCTCTCCTATTTGAGTCAGGGGGAGGAGGAGGAGGAGAGCGAGGAGGAGAGAGGGGAGGAAAAGGAGGGGAAGGAGGAGGGGGAGGACTGTAGCGGTCAGCGCCAAATCGAAATATCGGATCGATCGGAACGTGCGTCGAGTCGGGCCCATCTGCACGGAGACGGAATCGAATCGAATCGGCCGCGCCAGGATGCACATCACCGCCATGCAATCATCGAGCCGTTTCTGATCGCCAGAACATCGGAATCAAATCGGATCGATATCGACTCTGATCGATATTGAGTCTGATCGATCGGGTCGAAACGAACCCCGGGAGACGGAGGCGGAGGAAGTGGAGCCAGGGCATCCTCTCTGGGCGCGGGCGCCGGCGCCGGCTCCGGCGCCGGCCCCAAAGGAGGCCACTCGCTCTGGCCCGCCGCGGTCCACGCCTCGTCCACAGGGCGCAGGCCCTGCCGCGGGCACGCGGGCGCTCTGCTTCAGAAAAGCCGCCTGGATTCCAGAAGCGTCGATCCTTCAACCTCGGTCACTGTACCTCCTGCCACAGCCGGGCATGGCCAGAAGAACCTCCTCCTCCTCCTACTCCTCATCATCATCATCCTGCTCCTGCTCCTCCTTTTCCTCAAGCACCACCTCGACCCCCTCCTCCTCCTCCCCCTCCTCCTCCTCCTCCTCCTCTCTCCTCCTCCTCCTCCTCCTGCTCCTCTCCTGCTCATCCTTTCCTTCCTACTCCTTCTCCTTTTCCTCCTTCCTCTTCCTCATCCTCCTCCTCATCGTCCTCCTCATCGTCCTCCTCATCGTCCTCCTCATCCCCTTCCTCCTCCTCCTCCTCTCCTCCTCCCTCCTCCTCCTCCTCCTCCTCCTCCTCCTCTTGCTCCTGTCCTGCTCCTCCTTCCTTCCTACTCCTCCTCTTCCTCCTCCCTTCTCCTCCTCCACCTTCCTCCTCCTCCTCCTACCTCCTCCTCCCCTCCTCCTCCTCCTCCTCCTCCTCCTCCTCCTCCTCCTCATCATCCTCATCCTCATCATCATCGTCGTCGTCGTCATCATCATCATCAGCAGCATCATCATCATCAGCATATCAGCATCATCATCTCATCATCATCATCATCTCATCATCATCATCATCATCATCATCATCATCATCATCATCATCATCATCATCATCATCATCATCATCATCATCATCCATCATCTTCCTCCTCTCTCCTCCTCCTCCTCCTCCTCCTCCTCCTCCTCTTCCTCCTCCTCCCTTCCTCCCCTCCTCCTCCTCCTCCTCCTCCTCCTCCTCCTCCTCCTCCTCCTCCTCCTCCTCCTCCTCCTTCTCCTCCTCCTCCTCCTCCTTTTCCTTTTCCTCCTCCTCCTCCTCCTCCTCCTCCTCCTGCTCTTCCTCCCCATCCTCCTGCACGCTGCACCAATTTAGACAGGATGAACCGTAACGTCCGTGAATTTGGCCCCCTTTTCCCCCTCGTCGTTCTCCTCGTGGGACCCCGCCGCGTGCGGAATGGCGGTCCCAACGGCTCTAAAATTTCCCGCAGCCTGACCGTCCCTGCGCTCCCGGGCTGGCCTCATATTGAAGCCGCCCCGAAGAGTACGGTTCGGACAGAGGCGGTGGCGCCACCGGGTTTCGTGACGGGTTGCGCCAGGAAACCCACTAGTACTGTTGGGAATTCGGTCGGTTTCCTGGAACTCGAAACTCAAAGTGGAGACCTCGAACCCCTCCCATCCCGCGGTCGGCAGGGGGAAGGAAAGAAAAAAAAAAACCTGGGAGGCAACTGGAGAAAACCACGACCGAACGACGGGACATCCTCCTCCCGCACCAGGCACGATGCAGGCCTGGGCGGTTGTGGCGTTTTTTTTTTTTCCAGGAATGCAACCTAGGATTCATTACTGCGGATCCCCTTTGTTGAGGATCCCTGACTAACGACCCCCTAGTATGGAAACATTACTCAGGTTTCCTTGCGAAGGATTCATTTGGTAAGATTCCTTCCTGGGGACTCCATTCAGCAAGGATTCCTTACTGAGGTCCCAGAATACGGGTTTACGATCAGGCATTCCTCAGCAAGGATTCCCTCGTCAGGGATCCGTACGAAGGCTTCCTTATAAACGATCCCCTTGCTACTGTTGAAGATCCGTTTTTTTTATTTGCTCACATGGTTAGGCCCGTCGAGAATCAGTCGGGCGTAGCCGGAGGCAGCGTCCACCTCACGACGAGCTGCCGGGCGCGGGGCCACTTACGAGCCGACGCCTGCAGGGCAGCCCGAAAGAGGGCGGGCATCGAGCAGACCGCCGGGCCGGAGCTGAGCCGACGGTGCTCCAGGGCCGTTTTGGTCGCGTGTAACCCAAGCGCATGTCTCTGGAAACGGTCCCTGTCGGCACCGAGTCCGAAGAACTCAGCAAACGAATTGTGCGAAATGCCGAGGAAATTCCTGAACAAGGCCTTGACAAAGATGCAGCTGGCAATGTGCTCGAGTGCGTCCGTTGGACCTTGACAGAAATGGCATCGTCCAACACGCTGGAACCGGTGGTTTGTACACCAGCCGTTAAACCAAGTACAAATGACGGCAAAGAGCAAAAAGGGGGGAGGGAGGAGCCACGAGCGTCTAGACAACGGCACGCGCTACGAACCGCCGAGCCCAAAGGGACAAGGCGGGCGGGCCAACGTTTGGCCCAGCGCTCACGGAGGAGATGTTCGAGATGCGGATGGCCACGTGCTGCGCGAATGTTCCGGTAGGCGCCGAACTGACCACGGTAGAGTAGGTCGGGAAGCCGGAGGCGTGGAAGTAAGTCTTCGGCAACCCTGGCGGCGCGTTCGAGGGCGCAGACGGCCGTGCGATCCAGCCACGGCCGAGATGGCGGGCGCGCTCGCTGCTCGTCGTGTAGTTGCAGGGCTCGTAGTTCACGGAGGTGTTCGCGCCAGCGTAGCCTGGAGGAGGATAATACACGTAGCTTGATCGCCAACTCCATGTCCCGGAGCCTGTGGAAGGTAAGCGGCATGCCGACGAGGGTGTCCATGTGGTAGGCGGCGGAGGGAGGGGGCCAGTAGCGAGGTCCTCGTGTCAGCCGTTCTATTGCGCGGTCTTGAAGTGCAAGGAAATGCGGGGGGGCGTCACGTAGCTGGGCGATGTAGTAGAGGACGGGGAGGGCCTGGACGTCATGTAGTGTCATGGTAGCCGTGATGCCTTCATCAACTCGGAGTAGGTGGCGTGCACGATCACTGTGCTTAGTTTCTGCCGCCGCCCATTCCTGCTGGTAGGCCTCGGGGCCGATGTAGAAGCCGAGGTACTTGGCAGCGAGGGGCACCAAGAAGCCCGCCCAGAAGGGGAGGTGGTCCACGATGACCGTGCGAGCTCGCAGAAGATCAGTCGTCCAGAGCGGCACGATGACACACTTGTCGCGCCGGATGTCCAGCGCCGCAATGCGGAACCACATGAGGAACAGCCGGGCGACAAGAGGCGCTTGAGCAACAAGTCGGTGAAGTACTACTGCAACGTTGTCGGCGTAGACGCGCACGCAAACCGAAGGGCCGACAGAGTCGGCAAGGGCAGCGATGAACGGGTCCATGGCGATGACAAACAAGGCAGTGCTGAATGGGCAACCCTGCTTAACTCCTGATCGAACCTCGAAGAGGGGGCGGGTAACGCCGTCGAACTTCCAGTGGTGGACGTTGTCCCGGTACAGCTCGCAGAGGGCAAGGATGATCGGCAAGGGGATGCCGATGTGCTCCAGGAGGAGCCACAGAAACCGCTGTGCCAGCGACGGGAAGGCCGCCCCCGAAGTCGAAGAAGACGGCGGCGGGGTTCACGAGCTGCTCAGCACCTTCCGATAAAGACGAGCGTAGGGCGGCACGGAGTGCATGGGACTCGATGCCAACCACGTTCTGCAAGATGATGCGGTCGTGGATGAAGCCGCGCTGCTCAGGGCGAGCCCAATCCGGAACGGTGTTGAGCGCGAGCGCCAGGAGCTTGACATCCGTGTTGCTCAGGCTGAGCGGACGCAAATTCTTGGGGTGGCGGTGGAGGCCGTGGGTGGCGTCCGCCGGGTCGGTCTGCTTGGGGATCAAGGCGAGGAGGGCGTGGTTGGCGTCGTCGGCGAGGAGGCGAGGCGAGGCGCAGTACCACTCATAAAGCGTACTGTTGAAGATTCCGTATTATGGGCACATTACTCATGCCCCCATTATGGAGAAACCTTTTCTCCGGCTTCCTTACAAATAATACATTCGGTAAGATTCCTTACTGAGGACACCTTTAACGAGGATTCCTTACTGATGGTTCGCGAGTATAAATTTACGGACAAAGACTCCTCAGCAAGGATTCCCGAGTAAGGGAACCTTACGCATGGCTCCTTATCGAGAAAGTCCCTAGTCAGGATTCTTTCTTGCTGATTTCTTCACTAAGGACTCCAGCACAAGAGCTCCACACTACGGGAACGCTACTAACGACCCCCTGATAAGGAAAATATGCTCAAACTTCCTTACAAAAGATCCATCACGTAATATTCCTTACTGAGGACACCTTTGACTGGAAGTCCTGTTCCTGCATGCGGATTTACGATCAAGGACTCTTCACCAAGGACTCCCTCGTATTGAAACCTTACTAAGGAATTCTAACAAACGATTCCCAAATATGGCCTCGTTATTGTTGACTTCTTACCAATGATTTCCCCACTAGAAGTGCCTTACTTGGGATTCATTCTCCTGATTCCTTACGAAGGATCCCCCTGTACAGAATCCTCACGAGGACTTCTTTCTGTACCAAGGACTCCCTGTTGAGGGGTCTCTTGCTAAGGAAGAGTAGCGAAGACCCCATTGACCAAGGATTCCCTAACCAGGATCCCTTCTTAAGTGTCCCTGACCAAAAAAACTCCTTACGAAAAGCTCGTAGTACGGGCCCGTGTCTCAGGAATCCTTGAAAAAGTGTTCTTTAAGCAACACTCCTTTTCCAAGTATTCCATGGAAAGGACACCTTACTGAGGATAGCAATTCCTTACTCGGGGTTCCTTAACAAAAGGCTCACTGCCACCCATTCCTCCTCAATGGTTCCCAAGTAAGGAAACCGTACGACGGGTCCGCCGCAAGGAGCTCGCATACGGATTCCATATTGAGGATTCCGTATTCAGGAGCCCTTCTTAAGGGTTCCGTATGCAGGATTCCTGATTAAGGGTTCCTTACGAAGGCTTTCGAACGCAGGATTCCTCCCTAAGAACTCTTTACTAAGGAACCCTTACCGAGGAGTCCCTACTAAGGGGCGCTACTAAAGAATCTTTACTCAGGATCCCCGAATCAGAATCCGTTAGTGCGCACATTTTTCTGATTACGGATTACATATCAAAGGTTACGCACTACGTTTTTACAAGCAAGGATTCCTTAGTGGGGATACCCTAGCAGGGAAACCTTGTTGTTCAGGGCTCCCGACTCTAAGGATTCCTGACGAAGGATTTCCATTAAGGATTCCTT